GCTAGTGTGGGAACTCACCCCTCTTGGGGAAGAAGGGCCCAAGGGCTGAGCTGCTTCTCCTTCCCATCTCCCCACTGCCTCATCTCTCAGCCCTGTGACAGCCTTTCGCACACTGACCCTGACCCTGTTCCCAGCGTGGCTCTGCCCGAGGATGGGGTATTTCTCGTGAGACTCAGTTTCCCTCTCCTCCCGTCTGGCTGCCTTCCCACAGTGCGCCAAGCTATGCCCACCTCCTCGGGATCCCAGAGCACACTCAAGCCCTCCGGGCTGAGGACCACTCAGCAGAGCCGGTTCCCAAAAGGACAGCTGCTGCCACCCTTCAGAACAGTGGCTCTCCAGTCCCCGGGAAGGCGGTGGAGGGAGCGTGCCCAGGACAGAACCAGGGACAAGACCCAGGTCTCCAGCCTGGGTGTCCGGGGGCCTCTGAGACACGGAACACAGTTTCCTTTCATCCTGTGCCTGGATACGGAACCAAATATTTTGCTCCTTATCTGTGTTGCTGTAAGAGTGGAAGCTTGTTTGTGGAGGGACAAATTCCAAGGGTGGCCAGGAGAAGAAGAAAGGCCTTGGAACTGAGAGGTGGGGGGCCGCCCCAGGTTCAGGCCTTGGAAAGGTGAACCGCTTCCCCAGAGGGTGGCTGGGGCTGGAAAGGTGGGGCTCCGGAGGGTCAGGAGCGAGGGCAGCCCCCAGGTCTCTTCCTCTGCCCCACAGTCCTGCAGAACCGAGCCGGGCCACCCTCAAAGAAGAAACCAGGAGCCGAGAGCAGGGAGCTCTGAACGCTTCTGATCATTTGCTCCTTCCAAAGGGAAAATGAATCGGGCTTGCCCGCCCCGCCCCCACAACATTCCATATTATCTACCAGCGACGCCATCAGTAGACCTCACCATTATCCAGAGGACTGTCAACCTGAATGTCAAAGAGCGTCCCCCGACCCCCCCCCAAAAAAAAGTGAAATCTCAGGCTGGCTTCTCATCAGACCTTTCTCCTGTCCGGTGGCCAGTGAAGACCAGGGTCCACTCTCATGTGTGCCTGTCCTCAGGTGCCACACGATCGGGACGACCAACCCACAGGTTTCCAGCAGGAATCTTTCAGAAACCCTCGTCCATGTTGTGAGGGATAGTGAGGAGTGGTCAGTTGATCTGTGGGTCCAACCTGGGTTCACCTGGATGAATGAACCAGGTTAGCGTGGGGGCAGGGAGTCCTTGTCACCTTCCTCTCTCCCCGGAGACTTCTGGACCACATGAGATATGGCTGCCTGACGCCCTCGCGGGAAGGTGACAGTCCGTGTGTCCACACCTGACCAACCCCAGACACGGAGTTCCTTCCTTGTCTGTGTGTGGGGGGTCACATGGCGCCTACCCCCTAGACAGCATACCTCACCCTGGAAGCCCCGGGAATAGACAGTGGGAACGTTCAAGCTGCAATAGATGGGAGACACCCACCCGTCTACCTGTCACTTCACAGGAAGGGCAAGGACCCCCGAACGGTGCCACCTGTCCACGGTCACCTGGGTGGTCAATGCTGGGCTGGGTGCAGTGGTGCATGTTTATAATCCCAGCAACTTGGGAGGCTGAGGCAGGAGGATGGCAGAGTTCAAAGCCAGCCTCAGCAACTCACTCAGTGAGGCCTGGGGACATGGGATGTGGCCCAGTGGTTAAAAGCCCCTGGGTTCAATCCCTGGTACAAACAAACAAACAACCCGTTCTGGATGCAAAAGCAGGCAGCCCCTGGGCCCTGGCCAGCTCAGTGCCTCTCCCTGTGGCTCTCTGAGGAGCCGCTGCTTCCTCATTTGCAAAATGGGGACGAGTCCAACCCAGCTCTTGGGCTGCCGCTTGTCTGTCCTCAGTTCCCAGTGACACTCTGGAGGGTTCTGCTTGGGGGCCTGAGACCTGGGTGGTCAGTGGACCCTACAGGACTTGGCGCCCTGTAGTTCAGGGATCCCGGGGTGCCCACTCAGGCCTGTGAAGGGCACTGCGGACCAGCCAGGACCCAGGGGTGACCCCGTGGCCTTTTCACCTTGTCCCCGAAGCCGGCCCGTCACTAACCCTATCCTCCAGCTCTCTCAGCCCGTCCACCTAGTCCACCCCCACGGCTGGGACCACTGCATCTTATTTGGTCACTGGGTCTTAGTCATCAAGCCTCTTGCCCCAGATCTTTTCAAAAGATGAAAATCTGAGCAAACCACACTTCCTGGCCAGGGCTCTACTTCTCCAGCCTGGCCTGTTGCCAGGGATCTGAGCGACAGACACAGGATGCTTTTAATTCCCCAAAGGTCCCCTTCCCCCAGCCCCAGGGCCTTTGCACAGGCTATTTATTCTATCAGATGCCCCATCCCCAAGCCTCAACTGCTCACTCCCTACTCATCCTTCAGAGCTCAGCTCAACACTTCCTTCATCAGCGCAGCCTTCTCCTCTGACCCCGGGCTAAGCATCCACTTTGCCATCTTCACTCCCTCTCTGCCCCAGGTTTTGTGGGACTAGACAATTCCTATCCAAATCCCCTCTGGCCTGTGAGCCCGTGAAGGCACATCTGCTCTGCTCTGCTCTGTACCCCCAGCACTGGGGCGTGCACTTCACACACAGAAAAGTGATCAATACACGAACAAAGGTCCTATTCAAAAAGCCAAATTGAAAAATAGCGTTTTGGGGATTGAATGAATGGGTCAGTCGGGGCAAGGTTCCAGGATGGATGTGTGGGGTGGATCCCTGTGGCCTTCCTCCAGGGTGGGCCAGAGGCCAAGCCACTCCCGGGAGTGCTCAGCACAGAGGCTGGTGAGAGCCTAGAGCCCTGGGCTCCTGCCTCATGTTATCTCCCGCCCTCCTCAGGCTCCTGCACCTGCCACTGGCCCTCCAGGCCACCAGAGCATATCTGAACTGTGAGCATCTCTTCTTCCAAGGGCCAAAAGTCAAGCATTTGGCAGGGGGCTGGGGTGAGGTGAAATGAGGAAGAAGAGGTAGAATCTCGTGAGAACAGGTTCAATCCTCGCTTGGCCTCTTGCGGGCTGTGTAGCCCTTTGAAAGTCACTGAACCTCTCTGGGCCCCTGCTTTCACACTTGTAAAAAGAGAACAAGAATCTCTAACTAGGAGGCTGCTGTGAGGATAAAGTGTGGGAATCCACCTCAGCGTCTAGGTGGGGCCTGCCACGTGTCATGGGATTCCAAAACGCAGTTTTTCCATCTTGGCATTTCTGAAAAAAACTGGGATGTGACTTCCAATTTGCTCTTTTTTCCTGCTTAATGGATTATAAAATAACGGATGGAACCCAACCTTCAATGAACGGTGCTGGCCGCTTAGTCTCTGTACTTCCTCTGCAGAGAGGCCAAAGACCCAGAACCTCCCGGCACAGAGCTGACAGCCTCCTGGGGTCTGGCACGGCTCAGGTCCCCGAGGCATCACAGATCCAGAGGCTCAGGCCCCTGCCCAGGCTGGTGCCCACCTGGGTCTGCCCAGTCCAACTCAGCAGGACACCTGCCTTCTTGCTCTGACCCCATGCTCTGGTGGATGCCGGGGGCCCGGGTGTTCTGCTGACGACGCTCTGGATGCAGCCCACCTAAACCCGGACCTTGTTGTGAGAAGAGCCCTGGACCCAGCCCCAGAGACCCCAGAGACCTCTCCTCCAGGGGGCTCCTCATCAAGCCCCCCGGGCTCTGCCCCCAGTGTTCCGAGAGGCAGGCACTGAGGATGCCATCCGGGGCTCGCCCAGGTCCTCTCACCTCCTTCCCTCCAGCCTGGCGATGTCACGCCGGCCCGAGCACCACGCCACCTGCCCTGCAGCTGGCTGTGACCTATGCTGCGCGTAGACATGGTGCCAGATTCTGCATCAGGCAGGGCTGCGGCTGGGCGGCAGAGCACTGGCCTGGCATGTGTGAGGCCCTGGGTTCGATTCTGGGTACCGCATATCAATCAATGAATAAAATAAGGGTTCATCAACATCTAAAAATAAAGAAATAAGAAATACGACGTCCACTGTGTCCAAAATTCCAAAACATAGACAGGACTGAGGAGAACACCTGCCGACGACCAGCTTGATACCAGAACGTGTTTTTCTATGGTCACATCTGCAGAATAAGTATCTATTTTTTTCCCCATATTGGAACCCAAACAGGCTCATGACACACGTCTACTCTTTCGCTAGCTTTTCCAGTTAAATGGACACCTGGGACCTCTCTTTAGGTCCCCTATGACCCGTGCTCCCTCCTTCCACCTGACCTGACCCCACAGCCCCCTTCAGGCGGGTCTCGGAGGCAGGGCCGGGCCTGGAGGGTGTCATGGACATTGCCCCCCATCCCCAGCAGATCTGTGATCTGTCACTGGATCTCAGCCTGGTCCCTTCAAGCAAGGCCACACCCTGGCTCAGAAATACTCTGGAGCTCTGAAATCAAGGGTTGTGATGTCAGAGGCGGCTGTCGGTCCCTGTACATTTGGTCGTAGGCCTTTGACAACAGATCAGAAGTCCTCCCGCCACAGATGCTGGCCTGGTATTCCCCTCCCCCCAGCCTCCAGGGCTTCAGAAATCACAACAACGAACAGGTGCCTGGCATTTTACAGCTCATAGGAATGCTTCCATGCCCTTTATCCAGGTTTAAGCCCTACGACAACCCCGATCAGTTAGGCAGAGCAGGTATTCATTATTCCCACTTTACAGAGGAAGAGACAGAAGGTCAGGGAGGTGGAGTGATTTACCCAATGTCCGTCCATGTTTTCCTCCCCTCCATAGGGGTCCGACTACAAATCCCAGACAACCCCAGGCATCGCATTCTGCAGGGACCCTTCCTGGACCCCTCCCCCCAGGCTGAATGTTTCCCTGAGATGACAACAGCTCCCCAGTGAGCCCTGGAGGGCCAGGGGGACAGGTCCGGCTTACCTACACCCACCCTCCCAAGCAGGGAGGAACCTCCGTGTGGGTCACTAGGGTAGAGATCAGTAAGGCCGGAAGTACTCTCCCCCTTTACCATGTTACGGATGAGGACACCAAGGCCTAAAGAAGGGGCAGGACTTGCCAAGGGAGCAGGCTGGTGGCAGGGCGGGGTCTCCTTCCTTAGCGGGCTGGGTCCTTTCGTTCCGCTGTGTCCCTTCTGGTCTGCAATTTTGGACTCCAAACCTCTGCTTGAGGTTCATTTCTGGCTCCTCTTGCACTGGCCGGGCCCTACCTGGTGCAGCCAGGTGTGGTGGGAGGGAGGTGGGCAGGAGGCTCTGTCTGCGGTGGGCTCAGTCCCCCAGCCAGGACACCTGGGGCAGCCTCAGGAACAGCCACAGGAGCTGACCGTCCGCTGAGCGCCGCCCTGGGCCACACCCAGGCAAAGCACTCACATCTCCCTCCCGCCTGTGGCTGCCGCCATTATGATGCCACTGTGCAGGGAGGCAGGGGAGACTGGCCCAGGGCCACTAGGCTGAGCTGGGGCTGGAAGCCTGAGCTGCATCCCTGGCACAGGCAGCCCCAGGAGTTGGCTGGCACAGAAGCCAGAAATAAATGCACAGTCAGAGTACAGGAGACACCTCCCAGGGGCCAGTGACCTTGGCAAAGGCCCAGACACTCCCTCCCCTTCACCTGGCCACCTCCCAGGGCTGGCTGAGGGCTAAGACTCTGGGGCTCAGGGAATCCAGGCTGCCCCGCAGTCCACAGCACTCCCTGTGGGCAGCCACCTGCAAACCGTGGGCTGGAGGCCAGGATGGACGCAGCTGTCACTCAATCTTGAACAACTGCTCAGCTCCTAATTTCTTCTTATGGGATTGAGACCTCCTGTATTTGAGTAGGTGACAGGTACTGGGCAAGGCCCTGCCTTCCACGGGCCTTCCCTTCCCTTCCTGGGGAATCACGCTGGGAGTGGGACGGGGGGAGGTGACCTTCTGGGGTTCGCCTCCAGTCAATAAAGCACAGCACTGGAAATCCTGGACACCGGAGGCAGATGACATGGGTACAAAAATGAGCCCCTGGACAGGCCACCCAGCCGGGGACTCATCCGTAAAATGGGGACAATAGTAGAAAAAGACTGAAAGTAAACACTTTCAGTGTTTATATTGTCTGGAATGAGAAAAGATCTGGGAAATTTATTTTGTCTGTTTTTTTGTCCTTTTCTTATCTTTTCTCCATTATCATGAAGGATTGATAGTCGAAAAAAAACAAATGTACTTTCTTTATAAGTTAACTTTATTGAGATACAATTTGTATACAACATAATACACCCTTTTAAAGACGGAATAGTAATAAATAACAGTATATTCCCTGTGCATGGCATGAGGATGGTGGGTTAGAATCTTAAGACGTCTTGGAGCAGAAGTGTTAATAGGAGTTTAAGGAGCCCTGAGCCAGCCTGCTGTCCCTCTTCCAACCCAGCCCACCTTGGCCCCCCAGCTGCTCCCCTAGGACAGATGCAGCAGATCCCCTGTCCCCAGGACCACCATCCAAGCCCACACTCACCACTCTGGGCTGGACTATGTCCACAGCCTCTCTCTGCATCCTGCCTCTGTTCATTAGGGGCTGGGACAAAACGCCATAAACGGGTGACTTGTAAACAACAGAAATGCATTTCTCAGGGTTCTGGAGGCTGAAGTCCAGAGAAGACGGCAGGCTCTGTGTCTGGCCGGGGCCTGCCTCCTGGTCACAGAGGATGCAGTCTTCACGTGGCAAAGGGGTGAGGGTCTCCCGGGGCCTCTTTTATAAAGGCACTAACCCCATCACGAGGCCAAGGTCCCATCCCCTGGCACTGCCACCTTGGGCTCGGGATTCCAACGCGATTTTTAGAGGGATGCAAACACCCAGAACACAGCAACCTCAGAGGAATCGCACTAACATCCGAGCTTGGCCATGCCCCCGCCTTGTTCAAAAGCCTGCCATGGCTCCCCATGGCCCTGGACCAAAAGCCCTAGCTTCTGTGAGACCGTTTCAGCAAGTTACTTAACCTCTCTGAACCTGTTTTCTTAACTGAAAAGGAGGGATAAAAATAGTGCCTCCCTCAGAAACCTGTAGGATTCCATGCTGAACCTGGGGCGGGTTCCCTCGATCTTTACCTGCGGCCTCTCTGACCTGGCCTCCTCCCTCCCTCCCTCCCTCCCTCTGGTCTGTCTGCTCTTCTTTGAACGGGTCAGGCATGGTCCTAGCTCCTGGTCCTTTGGCACTGGCTCTTCTCTCCACTGGCAGGCTGCTCCCCCAGAAATCAGTCCAGCTCACTCCAGCAAGCCTTCGCCCCAAGGGTACCTTCTCAATGAGCCCCCAGACCACCCTGTGGAAAACCACAGTGGACGCTCGGCCCTGCGCCGTCTCATTTCCCCGGCTCTAGGTACCATGGTTCTTTGCTGCCTCTTCTCCCTGTCTGATCTAACCTCCTTCAGGGAAGACCTTTGCTGGCCTGTGTTGTTTACCATCAGACCTTCGCCCCTAACCCCAGCACCTAGAAAATTCCTAGCACAGTGGAGGTGCCTCATAAGGATTGGCCTGAATGACTCAAGGGGTGGTGGGAAGCCCTTGGGACAGAAACAGGCAGGGAGGTGCTGCGAGAGTGGACATCCCCATCCTCAATGTCACCATTGATCCCTGGAGCAGGCTCCCAGGCCCCTCCTCCTCAACTTCTCCCAGCTCATAATCACACCTTCCCCGTCCCCGCCGCACCCTGCGCATCTCACAATTATAGTAAGGAACGGTAATTACATCTTTAATTATATCTTTTTCCACTTAGGCTGAATCAAGTGAAATTGCTATTTTTTTTTTGTAAGTCAAAATGGTCAGATATTGTCTGGTTCACATCATTTATAACCCAAGAGGCGTCCCACAGCACCTCAGGGCTGGGCACAGGGGACACCTGAAAAATGTTTGCCCATCGGAGTGAGGTCACTTGGCCCTCCAGACCCGGCAAGATGGCAAAGCTTTGCCTACACCAGCTACAGATGGAAAAACGACAGAGCTCTGTCTACATTATCCCAGGTCTTCCTGAGAAAGGCACCCCGCTCTACCCAAGCTCTGGCCATTAGAAAGCAGCAAAAGTGTCAGGCATGGTGGCACACACCTGCAATCCCAGGGGCTCAGGAGGCTGAGGCAGGAGAATTGCAAGTTCAAAGCCAGCTTCAGCAATTTAGTGAGGCCCTAAGCAATTCAGGGAGACCCTGTCTCTAACTAAATAAAAAAGGGCTGGGGATGTGGCTCAGTGGTTAAGTGCCCCTCAGTTCAATTCCTGGAACCAGAGAGAGAGAGAGACAGAGAGAGAGAGAGAATGTGTGTGTGTTTAAGGCACTGCCTGTCCACTCTAAGGGAATCCACTTGACGATGGGGAGGGAGGCTGGGCTGTCCCTGGTTGCCACCTGCTCACTGCTCCCTTCAGTAACAGGCCCTGCTACAGGTCTTCACTAAGTCCAACTCCTGGATTGCCAAAGCTGAAACAAATCCAACCACCGCTAGGTCGACGCCCATGGCACAGCTGGGAGAAACAGGTCCAGGGAGGGGCAGGGACTGAGCCAAAGTTAGCAGGTGGGTAGCGGGCGGGGGAGAGGGAGAGCCCACCCTGGAATCTACCTCACTGACTTTAGTATCACAGCCTTTTTTCTGGGTGACACTGCTACGCCACCCAGTCCTTGGTAAGGCCAGCTTTTACTCTTGCTACTTTTTAAGGTGTCTTTTTCAAAGGAAATGTTTAGGAAGCCTCAGGTGACCCATGGGGAGTGGCTTCACCACAGGACAGCTTCTTACAGATAACAGCAGCACCACCTCATCTCTCTCTAGTGCCTTCCTTTAGGGTAAAGTCCCTAAAGTAGAAGCCTAGGAACAAAGGGCAGGCAGGATCATTGTCATGGACTTTTCTAACAGCCTGCCCGTCACCCCACAAGACCAAATGCCACAGGTGGCTCTACAACCTTTCGGGCACAGCTATCCTTTTATATTACTTTTGCTAATTTAAATTGTTTGTTTGTTTGCTTGTTTTTTTTTTTTTAAAAGATACACTCTAGTTTTGAAATTAGGATTCCTGGACTAAGTGGAAGGTTTGTTGTAAAACTTCAACCAGTGACATCCCCTCCAGGGACAGGGGACACTCATCTTTAAAATACAGTGGTTGAATGAGATGGTTCCTTAAGGCCCCTTTCAGGTGTGATATTCCAATGGTACATTTAGAAGGCATTAGTATACAGCTGGGCGTGGTGGCGCACACCTGCAATCCCGCCTTGCCACTCAGGAGGATGAGGCAGGAGGGTCACAAGTTCAAGGCCATCTGGGCAATCCAGCTAGACCCTGTTTCAAAATAAAAAGGAAAAAAGTCTGGATATGTAGCTCAGTGGTAGAGAGTCCCTGGGTCCAATCCTTAGTACCCAAAATAAATAAACTAAATAAAAAATAAGTAAAAAGAAAATTAGTATGGAATGACTTTTTAACAACCAGAATCTGCCATGCTTCCAAATCAGGAAGAAATGGCTTGAACCAGCTGAGCAGGAAAACGGGGTCCAGATAAACACTTGTGTACAGAAGACAGGAGACTTAGGTAACACTTAGGCCCGTGGGTTGGGGCAAGCCTCCTGGGACAGCATGTATACTTAGTCTGCTTTTACGAGGGGGGATAATAACACTCATCCGTGGTCTAGCTCCAAGTCCTGGGCAGCTCCATCCAGGCCACAGGGCAAAGTCAGATCACTCCACTTCAGCCCTGGAATCCCACTGCCCCCGAAATATGCCCGCGTCCAGCCTCTGAACACCTGAGGTGACACAGAGTTCACCACCTGCTCAGACGCCCCTCCCTTTTTATGGCCTCAGGACTCCTGGGTGACAGGCAGGTCATGAAGGGGACAGGAGAGACCGGAAGTCTGATTTCCAGAAATTTCTGATTTCTCAGATAGAAGGGTCTGGAGAGGGGTTAGGCTCCTCCTCTCACTCCAGCTTTCTCAAGAGATCACAGGAGGGGCAAGGAACTTCAGGAGGCAGCAGAGATGCACAGGGGGGTCCACACAGCCTGCTGGGGCCAGAGCAGACACCTCAGGGCTCTCTTCTTGCCTTTGCTCCCTTTGCCTCTGACCAGAGAGGCTGCTGTGCCTGGGCTGTTCAGCCTGGTGATGGCAGATTTAAGGGATGCAACCACTGCCTCAAGGTGAGGAGGGAGGGGTCAGATGGTATCCTTAGACCTCTAGCAAGACCAGCAGGAGGGACAGTGACTGGGAAGCAGATCTCCACTCAGTTTGCAGATAGTGACCTCCCCATCCTCAGGAGTGTGCAACAGAGCAGCAAGACCTTGCAGAGGGATATTACAGAGGGGCTGGGCCCATGCCAGAAGTCTACACCCAGAGAGCCTGGAACCACAGCCC